ATAGTGGAATGCCTTTGTTTGGGTGGTGAAGTCTTGGATGTTTATCTTTAACCTACAATAATATTTTTGGTAATCATTTGGATATCCAATAAAATTACGGGATTAAATGATTGAAAAAACCAAACAGAGACAAACTGTAATACTTTCTTTCATTTTTTCTCTTTGGATAAGTTATATATACATAGTCATCCACTCATTTTAGTTCCGGTCCTATTTAACGATGTTTATCGATTAAATAATACTGAATTGAACAATGACATTATCAAGCCGTAAAATCGAACCGAAGCTACTTTTTTGAAATCGTTGGTTGGGTCCATGTGGATCGTCAATGTTTTGGTTTTGAACCGAAACAAACCACTTCAAAGTGATTCGGTTTAGGTTTCAATCTTTGCAAACCGTTTCAAACCGCTAAATCATTTACAAAAAAATTAAAAATAAATTAATTTAAATTTTATCCAATTCAATTAAAATTAAACAAATCACAGTTAAAAAAATACATTCATATTAACACAACTTAATTAAACTCAATGCCTAAATAGACAATTATTTATCAAAATTAATAAATTAATCATAATCAAATACTCATTGATCATCACATCTGTGAATGCAAAATCTTCAAATTGGGTGCAGTATTAAACAGCCGTTGCTGAAAAAAATTCATCGACACCCATTACGATTGAGTAAAAAAAATTAAATTTAGGTTATAATTCAAACATACACTTTTCTTTTCTTTTCTTTATACTAATAATTTCTTGAATTTTGGCTAAATTTCCAAGTTGGTTTATCCAAAAAAAATTATTTTTAATATTTGGTTGCTAAATTTTATTGGTATTTGTGTTGTTTTGTTCTAATTTGCTTCGGGTTCCTTAAATTTTTCGTGGACAGCCTTTTTTATTTATTTGCATCTAATTTTCTAGTCAAGTCACTCAATTAATTAATTATTTATATTTTAACTCAATTCCAGATTTTACTTTTAATTGCTAGAGTGATTTGCTGGGTTACTCGAATGGTTGTTTTGAAAATTTGACACTTTGGTGGAAATTGAATGTAAATAAGTATAAAATTGTCCCTCAAAATTTCTAAAGATGTGTTAACTATTCAAATATGAACAATTATTTCTAAGTTTGCATTTCCTAATAGTGTCGAATTCTTAATTATTTTAGGAGTTCGTTAAGTACAAATATGATTGAGGCGATGATATGCCATAAAAATTGGTTGCATAGTAACAAAAAATTTATAGCGATTTGTCAATATTTGGATGAGGTAAAAGTATTTGATGATTTACAAAATGTTATTGAAAGTATTATCTTACCTGATATTTTTATTCATTTTCTTTTATTAATTGTTTCACAGCATTTAATTATAATTAATGAATTCATTTACTATATTATCTTTATGGCGAGAATGAATTGTGTCACAATTGCAGATGTTGTGTCAATTAGTTTCGACTAAAATGTTAAAATATTTCTATTTTGTTGTTGCACTATAATTATAGAACTTTGGTTTGCAGTATTTTTAATGAAACTATTTATATTTTAACGTAAAATTTTAAGTTAATAAGCACCTGCTTGATGGTCATTATTGTGTAAAAATAATGTTTTAAATAGTGATTTTTTAGTTACGTGCAAAATATTTTATTGTGTGAATGTTTGTTGAAAATAAGTGTGAAAAATGAATTTTTTATTTTAAAAGGAGGCAAACATGGGCTAATTATGATTGAACTTATTCGACATATGATATTTTTTTCTTTGTTGGTTTTAAAACGAATCAAATCGAAAAAGTGGTCTGATTTAAAAATTGAAGAGGTATGGAAAAATTCCATGCCGTTTTAAGTGGCTTGGTTTGGTTTGAAAATGTGTCACAAACCGCCCAAATCGAACGATGTTCACTCTTAAGTTAAAGCGTGTTATATTTAAACTTTTAAATTTCTAATTATAATAAACAAAATCGCTCTAAAATGTACTGTAAATAAATAATGAAATACTCGACCTATATCATAATAAAATTAAATTTTTCGCGACTACTTCTTTGTTTAATATTTTATTATTTAATATTTTTAATTTGGTGATTGAATATAAAATTTACGGGGTTATGTCCGATTAATAAATTCAGCCCCAAATAACCTAATTTTATTGGTATAGCTTGAATTAACACTCAATATTATTTGCAATCATCTAAAGTGTTTGCGATATTCTCTAGTCTCTCTCTGTCCTTCCAAAAAATTTCACTGAAAATGACTTTTTTATGTTTAATTTTCTACACGTATGGTTTCACTTAAGTGAGTCAAACTTGCTCATGAGTAGGTTAAATTTGTTTGGATAGCATTAAAGAGTTTTATTTATTTATTTATAAGTGAAAAAGTTGTTTTAACAATAAATAGTAAGAACTTATTTGACAAAAAATTTGCTTTTTGTAGAAGAATTTCATAAAAAAATCAACTTAAACCAATTTGCTCTGAAAACTCTTCTATCCGATTTCTTGACTGTAAATGATAATTGCAGCTACACCCCTAAATCTTTCAAAATATTGCAAGTGTTTTTTTCTAACTTTTTATTTGTTGCATCCGTGGTCCCAAACTTTTCAATAACACGTGTCTGGAGTCCAAATAGATGAAAATCATCAATAATCCTGTTAATTGACTAAAAATTTAGTTTGACCACATTTTAATATTTTTATAAAGGAAAAATATTAACTTTCTATTTATCACATTAAACAATTAAAATGATTAAATTATAAAATTATAAAAAATATAAATGAAAAGTAAATATCATCTTCTCCGCCCTCCTAAAACAAAATCAAAATCACCCTCCTTTACCGACCATCGGAGGTTCGAATCCCCGAGACAACCGGAAAACAACATTTATGTTGGAAGGTAGATGTCATGTGGTGCCAAATTTATGGTGCGCTTTGTCACCCCTTCGGGGATCATGTCCACACGTCGCAAATGGAGTTCCACATGGAGAAGAGCTACTTTCGAATGTCCGGTCAAAGCGTGTATAAGTTGTGACCGCAGTCGAATTTACTTGGGTGGCGAGCCAGGGAGGAAGACAGCCACTCTTCAAGATTAGTCGGGCGATATTTGTGGCGAACCAGGGAGGAAGACCGCCACTCTTCAAGATTAGTCGGGCGATATTCGAACACCTGGGTGATAAAAAAAAAATCAAAATCACCCCCACATCGTTCGGCTCAATTGCGCCCGAACCTTAAACTGCCACCACCACCTCCTACATCGTTTCCCTTCGAACCCGCTACTACCTTTGAGGTGCTTAACAGAAGTGGGGTTTTCGCCGAAAGCCCTTGTTTCATTGTCGGCAAATTGTATTGAGTATTTAATCATCCAGTAAAAGGGGGTCGATTTGTCCCGAAATTTGATGACTTATCTTCAAATCGATCAGTTGAGTCCAAAATCTCTACACTTAACTCGTTCCTCGAACTACTACAAGAGGATGATAAGAATGTAATTGGATTGTGGTGATTGATTAGAAGGGAAACAACGGAGGTGGTGACAGTTTGAGGTTCATGTACGGTGGTGCTGGATGGTGCGGGGTGATTTTGATTTTTTTTTTTATTGGAGATTTTTTGGTGGTGGTGGGGTGTGAGGGTGGGTGAAGAGGATGATATTTACTTTTCTTCTAGTTTTTTTAGTTTTTTAATTTAATTAATTTAATTATCTAATGCGATAAATAGAAAGTTACTATCTTATCCTTTAATAAAAATTTTTAAAAAGTGGTCAATCTTAATTTTTTGGTGGATGATTTCAATCCATTTGGACTCCGAATGCACATAATTTAAAAGTTTGGGATCACGATTGCAACAAATAAAATGTCAGGGAAACATGCAATATTTTGAAAGGTTCAAGAGCACAAATATAATTATTCTTTTCAAAAATAACTTTCGACTTTTCAAAAATATCATTCAACAAGCCCAAAGTCTTACTCATAAGTAAAGCTAAACCTCTGTTTGATGGCCATTATTTAGTCAAAATAATGTTTTGAATAATGATTTTTAGGAGAATGTGTGGTTAAAAAATAGAGAATAATTTGTAATGTACGTGCAAAATGTTTATTGTGTGAATGTATGATTGAAAATAAGTATATAAAATAAAAAGTTTTTACCTCTGTATGGTTTGAATTAAAATCTCAAATCAAAGTTAACAATTAATTTTAACACACAATTTTTTAACTACACATTTCATCAACTTTTATTAAAATTCACTAAAAAATTAATTTTAATCCAAACAGAGGCTAAACAAAGGTTGTGAAATAGGGGCTAAATTTGTTTGGAGAAACTTTTCTCTTTGTATTTGAGTTTTGTGTTTTGAGTTTTGAATGCATTTTGAGTTTTGTGTTTTGAGTATACATTTTGAGATTGTTAAAAATGTATTCATTTTGACATATTGAAAAATTGTTTTGAAAATTTTGACTTGATTATAACCGTAAACACTCAAAACGATTGTCGTTTTGGGTTTTTTCTGTAAAATTTTAACTTGTTTTTAAAAATGTGTTTTCGAAAATGAGAAAGAGAAAGTATTTTTACTATTTTAGAAAATTGAAAATAAAAAACGATTTGAAAATTGTAAAGGGGATATGCCCTTACCCTTTCACTTTGTTGGAAGTGAAAAAGTTATTTTTATACTCAATTTTCTTCACAAGTTTTTTTCTAGTATTGTTATTAGTCCACCTCCTTTCCCTTCTCCGCAAACAGGTAATCATCAGATCAAATTCCTTATAGATTCTACACTCTCTATACCTTTTTCTGATCTCTTTCCGCACACTGACACGCGCAGAAAACTTGAGCTTATATAGCGGTCAATCGATCTCCAAAATTATAGGAATACCCATTTTTCGGCCAGTCTTCAAGTTGCATTTAGTGCAGTTCCTACAGTTTTTGCTTTATCTGTAATTTGAGGACGCTTAACAAAGAAAGGGTATTGGATGATTGTGATTGATGAATGGTGGGTTTATTAGGGCTTGCTTGGGGAAGTGGAAATTCGTTATCTGATGTCACGAATCGTCGATAGAATGAACAATTCTGACACCAGCAGAGCTAGTGGCCCCGTCGAGAGAGACATCGAACAGGTACTACCACCACCGCCATGAGTAAATAAATTTCAGTTACAAGTTCGAGCTCCTGTTTGGCTGAAGTTCAATTTTATGCTGCTTTTAGTGAGAGCTCGATTAGTTATCTAGTCCAATATATCGTTGATTTTGGAATTCTTCTCATTCCGTTTAATTAAGCTAATTCGGACACTCGGAAGTTGTGTAAGCAGTAGTGGGTATATGTCGGATTTTTGGCATTTATATTTATTAAATTTGTCATGCTTTCTGTTCTTGCGAATTATTTCATACCTTTTGGAAGCAAGAATGGGGCATTTTTATTTATTATTTCTTTGGTTTTATAATGAATATCTTGGTAAAAACTGTCTCCGTGTATCATATAATAGTGTTAATCAGCTTGATAAATGTAGAAAATATCATTTTCAAGTGTTCTTATCAATGTTTTCGATCTAGTGGCTATTTTTCCTTCTCCGCCTATTGACAAAAGGAAAAGGAAACGAAAAACCTGCTCCAGGATTTTGTAAAGATTTCCTCTATTTGGTTTCTGTTGCACTTATTGTATTTCCTTTTAGGGTTCCAAATTCCAATGCTGTATGCTATTGCCCTTTCACGTTTCCATATGCTTTTATACACTTTTTGCCAATCCCAATTTCCATATTGTTTTTCTGTTTAAGTTTCTGATCTGGCAACTAGATGGTAAACTACAAATTAACCAACGTCGAGGTGAAATTTGAAATTTAAAACAACTGTATCTGAAAATAATGCATTTTAAAGGAACTTGAAAGCTCCTTAGCATGTGTATGCTTACTGAACATAATCCTATCAAAACTCATTGTACTTGTCACAAACTTTTGCAACTCAATAAATTTTCCATCCGTAAACATTTTCTGGCACCAATCCTGTTCCCAGCATTAAATTAGCCTTTTTTTTTTTTTGGCAAAAACCTGATATATTCTATCTAGTCAAAAGTTGTAGCAATGTCAAATTTACACCTGTCAAGTGCTTCCCGATTTCAGTGGGTCAATCTTTCTTCTTCCACTAAGCTCCTTCAAAGACCAACCTAACACCCATTACACCAGTCATTTGTTACTGCATGCGATCAAAATTTGTCCCTTTTTCTTTACCGTCTGAGTTTCCCATGATGAACCTTTTATGATTTGGAATGGATTGCAAGCTTTAGTAGCGTGACTTCCATGGTTTAGATCTTTTAATTTCCGATAAAAACTTGTGCACAGCTAATAATGTGGTTGCAATAATTTTCTTTTGATTATTTACCATGGAAGTACGTTATTTTCCTTAACCTGTTCTCGTCTTGTTTGGATATACTGCTCAATCCAGTTTCTTTCTTTTGGCAAACATACTAGGTTATGTTTAATTTTGGTTATTAGCTGATCTTTACAACAGGCTGTTACTGCTCTTAAGAAAGGCGCCTACTTACTCAAGTATGGAAGAAGAGGGAAACCCAAGTTTTGTCCCTTTCGACTCGCAAATGTAAGTCCCAGTTCTTTTCCTAAATGATGCGATTGCGGACACTTATTTGTTCTTTTCTTTGTGCTTTAGTGTGTCTTTTTTCCTCAATATACTTCTTAAATTTGAGCCTGAGATGATTTTTTCATCCACTTCGATCATTCTGTTTTTTACAATTATTTTGTGAGGAATCTATTTGCAGAAGATTGGATTTCGTTTAAATTTGCAAGATACTTGTCCAAAACAAGACTGCTCACTGTGATTAGCTGCAGACATTGTAACAATAGATGTTGGAAATCTTACCAAATCCAATACGACAGGATTTAATTATTACTTGAGTACAAAGGCGTTGTTGCTAATTAATTTGATGGGTAACTTTTTACTCAAGTTTCGGTTTATATGATATGTGCAGATTTAGCAAGCTATTATTCCATGTTCTGTTGTGACCATATATAGATTCTTTTTAATAGCAATTGATGCTAAACATGGGACTTGACTATGACATTTTTGTTTCTGCTTCCATGTGTGGGTTCATCACCTGATCTAGCCTTAACAGTAAATCACTGATTGGCTGAGGGTAGCGGTTATCAATTTTGTTGTGCAAGATAATGCAAATATTTTATGATTTGAGATGGATGTTGGAACACTTTTCTTCATATTTACCAGACCTGAACTAGATGTTGGTTCACTAGTCGGATCGGTGGGTAATTGGTTGAAGCGGGTCAATGCTTTTGTACATAACAATTTAAAAAAATGATCATTAATTTTTTGCGTTGTTTGCATGTTTTTTATTGTAAAAATAAAATATTAATTTCTAAATTGTTTATTGTTGATGACGAAAATATACATCTCATGTTTTATTCTTGAATACATTGGTATTTTAAAAATATTTTCAAAGTCGTATTAAATGCAGTTGAATTATATTTCTTAAATTTTGATCATTTTTAATATATATTTTGCAGTTTCTATGTAAACAAGTACCGACAATTAGCCTGGTGGTAGTACCCACACTAAAATATCCACCAGGTCAAGGGATCAAGTCCTTGTACAGTAATTTTTGCAATATTTCAAAGAACCAGCCGGTTCATTTGTAACCGGCTCGCCAGGTTTACATAAGAACAATCTGGTTCTTACGACCAATAAGGGTTCAGCGGTACATTGGTTCAATCATGCTGACCTGATTGGACGAGGGTCCTGTTAACCAGTTTCTGGTCGGACCGGACGGTCTGGTCCGGGTTTAATAACTATGCTTTTCTTGTACTCGTGTGCCTTATTTATTATGAACGTGGATATAATTGCTTTTATTTGATTTGTCAGCCATTTTTTAGTTGCTTCTTTTTCGCTGTGATACCGAAGATTAGTTTAAGTCTCTTTGTTCCCATACAAAAAGGTTGAGAATTCACTCAAAATCCGTTCATTGGTTGTGCTTGGTTTCAGGATGAGTCTGTTCTAATTTGGTTTTCCGGTAAAGAGGAGAAACATCTTAAACTGAGCCACGTGTCCAGAATTATATCTGGACAGCGCACTGTAAGTTTCCTGCTTTGAAAGTAACTTTTCTAATTATAACTCCGCCACATATATCGAGTGTCTGAGAGCTTGACGGCTTGTGTACATTAATATTTGGTGTTAAATTGTGGCTCAGAACTGAATGTTAAACACATTATACCTTTGTATGGAACTCTATTGACTAACTGATGGTATGTATCTATTGATGGTTCAAAATTTGGTGCAAGTTGGGGGTTTTCTTAATTCTGATGGATGTAACTCTACATAAATTCAGAAACAAAGAGATACAGTTCAGTGGTAACCAGTTTTATACTGCACGTCCATCTATCAACTGTGTTGGCTCAGTTGTCAGATATAGTTATTACTTCCTTGGCCTAAATAGAATTGCCTCTTTTCTTTTTTCATTTAATATCTGCATTCTGAAAAATGAAGATGTACGCCACTGATTAACCTGTAGTACAATGTTAAATCGAAGAAAGCTTTCATTGACATTGAACTCATTTTCATGGTAACTCTTGCAATGAACACCCCCTAAAACCCTAGAAAGGCGAACCCAAGGATTCCCAAGTGCATTAGAGTAACCCAACTCTTCCTTGTACTGCCCAACCCACTGCAGCTAGGAGCCCTCGAACCTCCCCAACTATCAAGTCGACTGCATGTTTTCATATAACAAAAAGTAAGGTATTCTAAGGTGCAAGTATGTTGAGCTAGCGTCTGACTTTGGGGTCCTCATATCTGTTTCCCTCATTTGTGCCTGCCACAGTCACTATTTTCCATTCCATGCCTATCATTACTTCTGAATTCAAAATTCTACAATCTCCTATCCTTTTGTTAAATAATTTTAGAACTATTTTAATTGTTTTGATGCTTGTGGAGAGAAAGAAACAACTGCTGTTTTGAAGACCAATCACGGACAAAAGCGCAGATTAGGAAATTGTTTTATTTGACATTATTTACTTGGTTTAATGTAGCGGCTATTAGGCATATAGATGGGCTGCCTAATTTCATGTCATTCTTTTCTGACTTGAAATGATTATACACTCCCCGTGTATTATGCATTGATTAATAAAATTTTGATTACCTTTCAAAAAAAAAAAAACAAGAGACATTTCTAAATTGTAAATTATGTAACCAAGCATCAAAGTGAGACAAATCACAAATGTTCTTTCATATGATTAAAAAAGTACTCAATGGGAAAAATGTATTACTTCCTAGTTAATAAGTGATATTTTGTTAAATTCCATTGAAAAATGGNGATGTGAATCATCTTATGGGTTTTTGCTCATGAAGAAGAAATGCCAAAAATCGTAAGATATTCAAGTCCATTCTACTCTGCTTTCTTCAAGCCCCTCCCCCTTTTATCGAGGCCTTCTAAATTTTTGGCTTGAAAACGATTTACATAACTTGGGATTCTGGGAACATAGTATTGCCATGGACCATTTTGAGCTACCGTTGGAGTTACATGGAAATTATATTACAAGTAGCCTATGAAATGCAAATGTGGTAGCATTAGTAGCATATATTCTTCTTGATAGACAAATAATTCAAGTTTGAAATGCAGAAGCTTTAATACATGTCTATTTCACTATTTGTTCATCTTCTTTGTTCGCAAAATTGTCATGTGTGTATTTTTTATATAAAACCTGCGAGCACATTTCATAGCCCTAGACTGCTTATTGAATGCAAAGGTACCAGAATTATATCTTTTCAAGTGTTTGACTTTACTTGGCTGAGAACTGCCTGCAGTATGAAAATGTGAAGTTGTTATACATCGAAAAGGACTTAAAAATGCAGAAAAGAGCTGTAAGATGCCTAGATAACTATACTGAAGTTCAAAACACATACGACAGTATCCTGCTAACTAGTTGGGAAGATTTTTTCTGCGTTGTCTAGAATTTTGACAATACTTTATGAGTCTATTGATAGCTCCCCATGATACATCAGAACAATCATTTATAGGATTTAATGATTCCTACGATCAGACTCTTTAGTATTTCATGCTAGCTTTACATTCTGATTTTATGTAATTTTAATATTTTTATTTCTCCAGCCAATTTTTCAAAGATATCCACGGCCTGAGAAGGAGTACCAGTCCTTTTCTCTGATATACAATGACAGATCACTGGATTTGGTAAAGGATTCAATTTTCATATCCAAGTCAGTTGAAGTTTATGACGTTGTTGGTTTTCTGAAGTCTTAGCCTGCAACTTGATGCGTTTTTTGTAGATATGCAAGGACAAGGAAGAAGCAGAGGTATGGATTAGTGGGCTGAAGGCATTAATTTCACGTGGTCATCAGCGTAAATGGAGAACGGAATCAAGGAGTGAAGGAATTTCATCAGGAGCTACTAGTCCCAGAACATACACTAGAAGAAGTTCTCCACTGCATTCTCCATTTGGAAGTGGTGATAGCTTGCAGAAGGCGAGTTGCTTTTTTTTTTTTTCATGTGCAAACATATAATCGCTATATGCTCCTTCTTGACACGGATGGACCTACTGTACATCTACATAAGCACATTTTCGTTCTTTAAAATGTCATAATTCCTATTTTACCTGTGCAGGATGGTGCAGATCAACTTCGCTTCCGCAGTCCTTATGAAAGTCCTCCCAAAAATGGTTTAGACAAGGCGTTTTCAGATGTGATATTATATGCAGTGCCTCCCAAGGGTTTCCTTCCTTCGGATTCTGCCAGTGGTTCCATCCATTCATTGTCATCTGGAGGCTCAGATGGCATACCTGGTCATATGAAGGGAATGGGAATGGATGCCTTTAGAGTAAGCCTTTCGAGTGCCGTAAGCTCGTCAAGTCAAGGTTCTGGTCACGATGATGGTGATGCCTTGGGCGATGTTTTCATCTGGGGAGAAGGCATTGGTGACGGTATTTTGGGTGGTGGAGCACACAAGTTTGAAAGTTGCTCTGGTCTCAAAATGGATTCACTCTTGCCTAAGATGTTAGAATCTGCAGTTGTACTAGATGTTCAGAATATAGCTTGTGGTAGGCGACATGCTGCCTTAGTGAGCAAACAAGGAGAGATATTTTCTTGGGGTGAGGAGTCAAGAGGCAGACTTGGGCACGGTGTAGATTCTGATGTCTTGCATCCGAAGCTAGTTGATGCCCTCAGCAATACAAACATTGAGCTAGTTGCATGTGGTGAATATCATACTTGTGCTGTCACTCTTTCTGGTGATTTGTACACCTGGGGTGACGGTCATTGTGGTCGTCTTGGACATGGGAATGAAGTAAGTCACTGGGTGCCGAAAAGGGTAAATGGACCACTGGAAGGAATACACGTTTCTTCAATTTCCTGTGGGCCCTGGCATACTGCTGTTGTGACCTCTGCTGGGCAGTTGTTTACTTTTGGAGATGGAACTTTTGGGGTTCTTGGTCATGGTGATCGGGAAAGTGTTTCTAAACCTAGAGAAGTAGAATCCCTGAAGGGGCTCCGCACTGTACAGGCAGCTTGTGGTGTTTGGCACACTGCTGCTGTTGTTGAAGTTATGGTGGCAAACTCAAGCTCTGGTAATTCTTCAGGCAAACTTTTCACATGGGGAGATGGGGATAAAGGTCGACTTGGGCATGGTGATAAGGAATCAAAACTTGTTCCAACCTGTGTTGCTGCTCTTGTTGAACCGAATTTTTGCCAGGTTGTTTGCGGACATAGCATGACAGTTGCTCTTACAACCTCGGGCCGTGTATACACAATGGGCAGTCCTGTATATGGACAGCTAGGGAGCTCTCAAGCTGATGGGAAGCTTCCATCTCGTGTTGAAGGAAAACTTGCGAAGAGTTTTGTGGAGGAGATAGCATGTGGTGCCTATCACGTTGCTGTTCTGACCTCAAGAACTGAAGTTTATACATGGGGGAAGGGAGCTAATGGTAGATTGGGTCATGGGGATATAGATGACAGAAGTTCTCCAACTTTAGTTGAAGCTTTGAAAGACAAGCAAGTCAAAAGTATTGCTTGCGGTACTAACTTTACTGCAGCTATCTGCCTTCATAAGTGGGTCTCTGGAGTTGATCAGTCCATGTGTTCTGGCTGCCGTCTACCATTTAATTTCAAAAGAAAACGTCACAATTGTTATAATTGTGGACTCGTCTTTTGTCATTCATGCAGCAGCAGGAAGTCTATCAGGGCTTCTATGGCCCCAAATCCCAACAAGCCATATCGAGTTTGTGATAATTGTTTCAATAAATTGAAGAAAGCTATTGAAACGGACACATCATCTCAGTCATCTGTGAGTAGAAGAGGAAGTATAAATCAGGGTCCAAATGACCTTATCGACAAAGATAACAAGTTGGACACCAAATCTCATCCTCATCTAGTTAGATTTTCTTCAACGGAATCCTTGAAGCAAGTGGAGAGTTGCTCTTCGAAGAGAAACAAAAAACTGGAATTTAACAGCAGCCGTGTATCACCTATACCCAATGGAAGTTCCCAATGGGGGGCTTTTAATATCTCTAGATCTTTTAATCCAGTATTTGGATCGTCCAAAAAATTTTTCTCAGCTTCGGTTCCTGGATCAAGAATTGTTTCTCGAGCAACATCACCAGTATCGAGACGGCCTAGTCCTCCCCGTTCCACTACACCGACCCCCACATTGGGTGGACTGACTTCACCGAAGGTTGTATTGGATGACGCTAAAAGGACAAATGATAGCCTTGGCCAAGAAGTTATTAAACTAAGGGCACAGGTACAGTTTGCCTTATCATTTGATCATGTTGTAGCTTTCTAATTGTCCTGCCTTCTTTTACCTCCTTGTCTTATGTTGAAGTTTTACACTACCAATGGGAATGATTGGTTATTAATTTGAGGAAAAGATGAAGATACTTTTCAAATGATCAGCAGTCACATCATATGAAAGAAGCTGTCCTTTCCTGCTTGGTAAAATGTTAATGTTGAAGAGAGCATGAGTCAGTGTTTATAATTCAGAGTTGGGCAAATCTGTTCCAGAGGTTTTATCCTTTATGGCAATGAAAGAAGAGAATAGACTGGGGATTAAACATACATGTCTTCTGCTCTGCAAATCTCTATTTAGTGTCTGTTATGAGTAATGGATGTGAAGATGCATTTGAAAGCTAATTTATAATATGGGAGGGGAGTTCTCGATTTGACAGTTAGGCCTATAAAGCTAAAGTGAGTTCACTATTCCTTTATAAATTGTGGCCATAAGTACAGTCACACGGATGAATTTGTTTAAATGTTCTCATTCCAACTCTCAAAACAGTCTTGTGATGTGCATTGCGCTGTACAGTGTCCTTGACAACCAGTATATCCAACCCCCCTTCCTCTCTCTCTTCCTCTTCTTTTTGGTAGGGGTGGATGTGGCACTTACTATGCTTGAATAATTTTTAGTTTTTAAATTGTTTGCTAAAGATGTTTAACTTCCAAGGGGACAAATGCATACCCATTATGCTCTGATGAAGATTTGACACCGGGTTGAAGTTGTGAGTTGGCACCACAGAATACACATCTGACATATCTTTTGTCTTAGGTTGAGAATCTTACTCGCAAGGCTCAGTTTCAAGAGATAGAGCTAGAAAGAACTACTAACCAGCTGAAGGAGGCAATAGCCATTGCAGGGGAAGAGACTGCCAAATGCAAAGCAGCCAAAGAAGTGATTAAGTCACTTACTGCACAAGTAAGACCAGTATTTATGGTCATTAATTATACGACCAGTTTGTTTGCACGTGTCTTAGGATAGAAATCATGCATTATTTCCTTAACAGAATCTGAGATTATTCCAAATTTATTTTCAGTAACATTTGAGACAAGTGCATGCCAAACTTTTATCCTGTTCCCTTTGTCATTGTCAATTGCTGCTGTGTTTATATTTGTAATTGACAATGTCTGTCCAAGTATGTGGTGCTTTCTTCTTTTTTTTGGGACAAATTCATTCAGTGAGGTTTATGCTTGAATTTGTTTTATATCACCCTTCTGGTTTTTAGAAAACTGTATATGGGCTCCTATTTCAGTTTTATTATACACTTCCTTTTGATGGCTTCACTTGATGACACAATTTATTCTATGTACATGTATAGCTGAAGGAAATGGCTGAAAGGCTTCCTGTGGGTTCTACTCGAAACACCAAATCTCCTTCCTTTACTTCTCTCGGCTCCACTCCTGTATCCAATGACGTTTCAAGTGCTTCTCTTGTCCGTTTGAATGGTCAAATAACTGCCCAGGAATTGGAATCAAATGAACTAAGCAACCAGATGCTTTCTAATGGACTAAGCATTGCAAGTAATCACAGCTTTGGTCACAATAGACAAGGTCATCTAGAAACCATGACAAGAAACGGGAATAAAACAAAAGAAAGTGATTCTCGCAATGAGAATGAATGGGTTGAGCAAGACGAACCTGGTGTTTATATCACCCTTACCTCCTTACCTGGAGGTCTCAAGGATCTTAAGAGAGTTCGTTTCAGGTAGGTTGCTTTGAACTCTAGTATGTCTTTGTTTTAGGCCTATCATCTTTTGACCCTTGCATTATACTTGCTGGATAAGTTTGTATAATGACATAATGATTACATAAAAGCTGGATGCCAGTTTTTGCATGCTTTTGCCCTTGTTGTGAGCATTAAGGCTTGACCAAGTTACATTCACGGTATTGATATCCTAGATTGTAATGTTTGTGCCTAGTTATGGTCCTGGTATTAGTATCCTTAATTATTATAAATGGTCATAGTTACATTATCCAGTGTAAGGTCACAAAATAAGGCAGGGAAGTACAATTAAAAATCATATAAGCTTGTTATGAGTGCGTTACTCCAAAAGACACATTTTAACAGTGCTACTTGTATTGTTTGTCCTTTCCTATGCTAGGTTATGAGAAGGGGAGGTGGGTGGGTGGGTCTTTATTTTAGCTGAAGAAAATGAAATCACAGAAATGATTTTTATATCTGAAAAAAAATGTTTATAAATGGTGAAATGCAGTCGAAAGCGGTTTAGTGAAAAACAAGCAGAACAATGGTGGACAGAGAACAGGGCAAGAGTGTATGAACAGTACAACGTACGGATGGTTGACAAATCGAGTGTTGGCATAGGAAGCGAGGACCTAGCTCGTTGACATAGTGTTTCTTTTCTCTGTTGCCTGGCCTACATTTCCGCTCCGTTCGCAGGGAAGATCATATGGGATGAGTAGTTTTGGCATTCATCTTTCAACCTGGGGTTGCCCGTTAAAGCAAGAGGAGTAGAGGTTTGTTTGGGAATTTTCCTAACTATTTTCCTTTTCCTTGTGTTTTACCTCCAATTATTCTTGCAGTTTGATTATGCGTTTTCATTTTTTTTTCATTTTTTTCCTAGGACGCGCCTTGGGTGTGGGTTTTGAGGACGAGAAATGTAAATTCTTAGTAAGGTGCTGGCTCTTGTTGCCAGCAGCTTCAATGTAAATTCCATAATCTAAATGCATTTTCAGTTATTAATGCTTCTATTTGTTGCTTTCTGTTCCTCTTGAAAAATGTATGCGAACACTATTTTTCATGCTACAACTTGAGTCGTTTCCATTTTTTTTTGGTTAAAGAAGACAATTCCTTTTATTTCATGAAAAATTGTGTTGAGTAATGCTTGAACAAGAGTCTAGGTAAAATAACGCAATAAGTCGAATTAAATGGGATCGAACGAGTCTCATATTCTTACATTTAGCCATTATTTGGTTAGATAAAAATAGGATTTTTAGTAGAGTTTGGATAAAATTTGATGGATTGTGTAATTGAAAATTTGTGGATTCTATACAATGTGGTTATAATCAATTTTGGATTTTGACTTAGTTTTTAATGAGCCTTTTTAGTTGAATCAAACATAGTTTAAAAGGGCTTACTACATTATTTCACTTACATGGGCGTTGTTGCGTCGTGGGATTTGATAGAATTATTCTTTCGTTTTGTATGTGAATAATACACGACACTAATGGTACTAGAGTATCAGTCTATGTGATATTTTGTGATAAGTACAATTAAATGTGAAATTATGTAATTTGTTTAATTGTACATTTCATTTGAGGATACTTAGTGCTACCTAAATTTGTGTTATAACATCAGTAGATCCAATAGTATTACTCTTTGTATGTATTGAGAACATATGCACATTACCATGTGTCATTGTTAGAGAACCATGACGAATCATCAATTTAGTTTTATTTTTTTATTTTAAATTCAAACCTTGATGGATTATTTATTAATATTAGAAATAGAGTAAAAATACAAATTTACGAGGGAGCATAGTACGAAACCTCCAATTTGGTCTATGTGATTGTGTAATGTGATTTGAATACAATCACTACTTTCTTGATTAAGTTACCAGTGATTTTGATATATACATGTTTTCAAGTGTTTCAAAGCAAATTGAATTTACTTTTTAAATTACTTATCTTGTAAATCAAGATTTTTTAAAATTTCCTTGATCACAAACAAAAATTAATTTTTGTATAGGGTACCTTGAAACTCCACTGATTAATAAACTAGGGAGCTTATTCTTTTTTTTGATGACTCGGGTGTTCAAACTTCGCCCGACTAATCATAAAGAGTGGCGGCCTTCCTCCTTGGTTCGCCACATGGGTTAATTCGGATGCGATCACAGTTTATACACACTTGTGCCGGACAATCGGCAATTCTCCTCTCTGTGGACCTTTGCCTTCCAACATTTAAATGTTGTCTTTTAGCTGTCGCGGGGAATCGAACTTTTGATACTCCGTAGAAAATCATCTTGCTTTATCATTGCGCGGGGGCAACTAGGGAGCTTATTCTTAAAAAAATGTTGAACCACAATCTTGAGGGCCCCCATTGGCCCACATCTAGAGCATCGTGGAGGAGGTGAATTGCGGGATGTGCCTCAACAAGTCAGGGTACAAGAGCTTCCATACTGGTGCCCACAAAGAGTCCAATTTCATACATTGTAAGAGGCGGGAATTGAACACTCACACTGCGGCTGTCAACTCAGTTGAAATTATCTCACTCATATCCTTTGCACAATTGAGCTATGCCCCAGGAGGCTACTAGGGAGCTTTTTTTTTTTATACCTAGGTGTCCACCTTCGGCAACACTAGAGAGCTTATTCTTTTTTTTTTTTTTTTATTTGATATCCAGGTATCCTATCTTACACCA